GGGCTTAGTCGTTGGGGTTTAGGGTGGGTTTGGTGAGTGCATTTCGTTCCTTTTGTTTTCAATATTACGTTGTCTACGAAACTACGAAAGGCCCACGCCCCGTAGCCATCTAGCTAGTCTGAAATTTGAAGGAGAGAAACAAACATATCCAAACATGCCTTAAAATCCAAAACCTTAAACTCTGAACCTTAGACCCTAAACCGTAAACCCTAAACCCTAACCCCGACACCCCCCAGCTCGAAGTCCGAGGGTGCCAAGAAATCTGGCTCTCCAAAGACAAGCTCCTCCAGTAAAGTCCTTTCTATGAAGAACCTGATGGAGCGGCATGCTTTAGGGTTTAGTGTTTGCGCCTGGCTGACTTTGATCCCCTTTCTAGTACGACCCTTACTGTTTAGGGTAGCCCAAGATGGACCATAATTTTGACAATGCCCTCATAGCCAGGCATATCTCAAATCCTATCGACCCTTTCTCCGACCGCAGTGACCTCAGAGCGAGCTTCGATAATATACATAATAATTCTGATAGTACCGGAAAGACAGAGTAAGAGTAACAACAATAACAGAACACTAGCCATGACAATGACCTAAACCCCTAGACCCTGAACAATAGACCCTGAACCCTAAACAATAATCTGGCAGCTCAGGGTGTAGGGCTTAGCGCTTAAGTCTGTTGCTGGTCGGGTTTGAGGCTTTGGACTTTGGCTTCGAAGTATAGGTTGGTTTAGGGATTTGGGTTTAGGATTTTGTGATTTCGAGTTTAGGGTTCAGAGATTTAGGGCTTAGGAATTTCGAGTTGGGGTTTAGGGGTGTAGGGTTTAGGGATCCATCGTTGAGGGGTTCAGGGTTAAGGGTTTAGTGATTTTGGGTTTAGGGCTTAGGGATTCAGGGTTTAGGGTTAGGGTTCTAGAATGTGTTGGCTTACTTGTGGACCAAAGGCTTTTTCGCCGGGGCTGCGTGTGGTAGTTGCCTCAAATAGGGGGACCCAAATATAGACCCCCAAAACTGTAATCCTCATCATGGGAAACCCGAAACCTGAGCCCTAAACCCTATATATCCCCCACAGTCCACTTCAAGGGTACCCCTAATTTTGGGAAACCCCCCATATTTGAAGGTGCAGTTGGATAAGGCGCGGAGAGCCTTGAATCAGGGTTTAGGGAGCTTAACCGTCAGCTTCCATAAGTTCTATCCCCTGCCATGGCCCGCCCACATGACAGCAGTGTCAAAACAGCCATATACATAAGCCAGGCGGTTTAGAGTTCCGGGTTTAGGGGCGGGTTTCGGAGGTTCAGTCTACATGACTCAACCTGAATCGGGACCCGAAGCAGAAAGGGATGCTTTGGTTCTTCAGCGTGCGTTTTGTGGCTACAGCTTTGTGTGCGAGGCCTGAACCCTAAGACTCTGAAGCTCCAAGGACCAAATCTGTTGGCAACCTGCGAATGAAGTAGGGTCATGGATTTCGTGGCCCAGCTGGGAAGAGACAAGAAAAGCAGGAATCCCCAACCCCAAGCCCCAACCCCCAAGCAGGGTTTTTAGGGTTTAAACGGATAGAATGCCGGAGAACCAAAATGGAAAGACAACAGAAACAACATGGAAACTAGAATGTATAGGCGCTTATAGGGGTAAGCATGTACATCCCCTAGTCCCGTATCATCACGGTCTTAGATGACGCTGAGGTTCCGCAATGTAACACTACGTACCTACAGTTGATATCCGCCA